TGTAACAGAAATCTGCAGTCAAGAATAAAACAAATCCGATTTCAAGGGAGTCTGAATTCAATGAAGACTGTCTTTTCTATTTTTAATCGCGAGCTTTTGCTGAAATAATTTAATTTTGCTTTTCGAGTGTCGGATCCTGGAGTTTGTCTAGAGGGACTGGCGAAAGCCACAGTCAGGATAGCCCGATGTCCCGGCCCGAGTTTCGAAACGAGGAACTCCAGATTGTTACCTTCCTCGGCGACAAGAACACTAACGCAACAATGTGAACAACAAAAATAACAATGAGCAGATGGAATGTTAATGAGAAAAATAATAAATTAATGGCGCGAGGAGACATATCTGTTAAATATGACAAAGCAACCCTGATGAGTCACAACTAGCCATAACACTTTCGTGACATTTTGTTCCCGGTAGTTTGCGCCATATTGCAAGTTGCCACCGTGTGACGCGCACAAAAAGCTGATAAGCCTACAGCCCCCCTTTCTCCTGATTCTCCGTGGGAGTTGCGAACAAAGGGTCAGTTCTTAAACTGTCGGAACAAACAATGCATGGGACCCAGCAACCTTGCTTTTATCCACTTCTTGTTCAGCCCAGAATTATGGCCTTCTTGGCAGATTCTTTTATTATGCCCCTCGGATCCTGAATGCATAATCCTGAGGGCCAGATCTTTGAGGAGAGCAATTGGGTAGAAGGCTGGGTGGGCCCCAGAACCAGTTTGCACGACATGAAGAGAAAAACCTCTTGCCCCTGCCGGAAATCGAACGCTGTTCCTCAGCCATTCAGTCCGTAGCCCGTCGCTATATGGAATAAACTGGCTCAGGCTGTGGAGCAGTAGGTAACTTTTGTGAAGACGGTAATGAATCCTTTGGTTCCATAAAGTGCTGAGAAATTCTTGAGCAGCTCACCAACTGGCAGCTTCCCAAAAAGGACTTAGCTCCATACTTATGACTTGCTTCACGAAATCTGAGAAGTGGACGCTATTCCAGCTTGCCATATCAATGAATATTCGAGGTGTATGAACTTCGTATTTTGTGTTGCATAAAGATATAGTAAGCCACGAATGAGCGAGCAGTTTTTATACCGCTTTCTTATTTAAAAAAAAACAGAAGTAGGCTAATGAGATCATTTTGCTCTCTGTATGTGTATCTTCACCCCATAAACTTTTCAATGCCTGAACCGATCGTCACGAAACTTGGCATCTGAGACCATTTCAGCGGCCTACTTCATAAATCCCTCACATCAATCTGTGCCCGTATGTCTCCCCCTCCTGTCGTTGCCAGCAAACGGCTCGGTAAACAGCTTCCGCGGCAAGGAATACACGCAACAATGAAATAATTATTGGATGTTTTATATGCGGTCCGCGTCGTATCAAAGAAGAGTCTGCGGGTCAGTTTGTATATCCTCTTATCTTTGTCAGGCAACGGCTCGGGAAAAGTTCCCCGCGACAACGAAGAATTGTTGGAGGCGTCGTTTTCTATGCGGTCCGTGTCGTATGTAAGGACACTAACGAACAGTTTTTCCGAGAGCTTATTGTTTTAATGTATTGTTTCTATTCTGTGAGCGTCGTTAATGTTCTGTGGATATGTGAAATATAGCTGGTATCCATCACGGCACTTGGATATATAGAGATTTATATGGCTGTACTCTTCAAAAAAAGTTTCCAGAACACATTCGTCTCGTCATGTTTATCAAAATCATATCCGGGCCCTGTGATCATAAACCAAAAATCTGTACATTTGGAAGCTATGCACACGTTGCGTGGGCAATATATCCGCCTATTTGAATTCATATCTCCATGAAGTTTATAGGTCCGCAGCCCGTCGCTATACAGACTGACCTATCCCTGCCCCCCAATTGGTGGGGGGGGGGGCAGTGACGGAAATACATTTATGCACGGTAAATTTGTTTTGCTTCAGCCAGTTAACGCAGCATAATTCTGATGGTCAGGACTCTTGGGAAGGAGAATGAGAGAAAAATGCATACAAGGAATGGAAAAGAACAAAAAGAAGGAGGCGTATATGAAGAAGGAAATGAGGAATTCCAGAAGATTGAAGTACTCTTAATAATACCGCTATGGCAAAGCTATATCTCTGTAACAGGTCATAGAAGCCCACGAGGTATTGAGACGTCGAGGCTCCTACATTTTCTAGATAATCGGCTCACGTATTACGGTAGGGTAACTACCGCTATGAGAATCTCGAATTCTACAAGAGAAAAAGAAAACGAAAAATGGTAAGGATGCGGAGAAATGGGAGAAGAAGGATGTAGGAAACAGACTGGGGGACTGGACAAGAAGAAAACTAATTAAACGTTTAAATTTACACGTACAAACGTGGGATTGCAACGAATAGAAAAAAAAATTTAGGCAGAATTTCCAGATCTTTGATGAAATCTGATACATGTCTGTTGTGCAAACGGCCGATCCTTCATGGATGCCGGTAGTTCAGATAAAGGTATTTCGGGGTTCCCCCCTCCCCCAGTTTCTTCGTGAGAATTCCGAAATTGTACTTCTACTGATTACTTGCCATATCTCTCCCCCGTATAGGATTTCAGCTGCAGGGCCAGCCATATTTCCTCAATACTGAGTAATGAACTTTCTTTTATTGCTAGTGGGGTGGAACTAAGTCCTTTGTACTGCGGCCACTTCTGGCCTCTTGTACCAGCTCCAGATGATAGGTGAGGGTGATTGTGGAGCAAGTGGTGGAATGAAGATTGGCAGGGGAAACCGAAGTACTCGGAGAAAACCTGCCCCAGCGCCACTTTATCCACCACAAATCCCACTTGACCAGACCCGGGATCGAACCCGGGCCGCCACGGTGGGAAACCAGCGACTAACCGCTTGAGCTGTGGCGCGGCCGTAACTAATGAACTTACTGAATGCAAGAAGGGCATGTAAGAATATGAGTGAGGAACAATAGACAATCGTTGAGTGTTTGGACTTTTAAGTTCCGCACTCTTAAGAAGTGACCTACTGAGTGAACATGACGTGCCTACACCGTGCCAACAGCGCGTCACTTTAATTGTAATCGAGAGGTGCTCGGTTTGAATGCCGATCGGGGCATGCTACCTTGACTTGGGGCCTTTCATGGTTTTCCTCAGTTCTTCGAGGATAATGACGGAACAGTGTCTCATTTAGGTCAAGATCGCCTCCTTCCAAATATTTCCCAATCATCACTCGTCCATCCATCCTATGTTATATAGTATCGATACTGGGAGCGTCATTAAATAACCAACGAAAATGATGGGATCCGTACTTGTACGCGGTAAAATTGAAACCGTCGGTTAAACAACTGGTAGTATTAAAAGAAGCCACGAGCTTTTGTACATCAATTTAAATTCACCACCTGCAATCATAACTTCATTTGACTCCCACATTTTTACACGAGAGAGCATCATTAAACTTTTTTTTTTTTTTTTTTGCGGAAGTCCGCTTTGAAAAATGTACACTAAGTTCGCCGATAAGCGGCGGTCGCTCTGTCTGTATAGTTACCTTGCGGACTAAAGCCAAAATTTCTTTTTTCTGCTTGTTTTATCTGCTCTTGGTACAGACAGCACGTGAAGGAAGCAGCAAGCCTAATCAAACCTGTTTTCATGCGCGTCTCGATGGTTACCACACATGAAACAATGTCTCAGGTGGAGAGACTATGTTATCCGTGGAGAAACAGAAAATGGTCCGGCTTTCGCTTCGAGACAGCGGTCCAGCATTTGAAACTAACGAACCTAACGTTAGTCTCTATCTGTGATGTTGCTTTATTTTGAAATTGTCTACATATTTATTTAACGTTTGTTTCATGTATATATTTCGGACGAGAAAGAACAGTTTCATGTGACGCGCAAGGGAACGGTTGTTATTTGTTGGATTTTATTTATTTTTGTTACTATTCACCACATATACGAGGAAGAGGCAGTAAATGATGCCACAGATAGAAGTAAAACAGCTGTAGTGATGTAGCAGGTTTCTTTGTGTATCACTGGGTATCAGCACAGCCCAGCTTCATGACAGTCTAGGTAGCAGACGCGTACATCCATGTTCAAAGGCTGGTTTCGGTAGTCAAATGGCTGTAGTGCTTGAGGAGTGTATTGCCGAAGAGCAGTGTTCTGTTGTGCGTTTTTATGAGCAAAAGGACTCAATGCAAAAGATATTTATAAAAAATATTTGCTGTTTACTGTGTGAAGCGATTGTCGCGTAAAGCGATTCGCGACTGAGTGAAGCTGTTGCCTGGCAATGCGTTCACATGTCACATTATGTTGAGAGTTATTTTATTTCAGTTCTTCTTCTACTCTTCCTCTCTTTTCTTCCTTTCTTAGAACTTTTCATATTATGTGGAGCAACTAGCAGTTTCACCTATCTCCGTCTTCCCAGAGTATCCCAAAAATGTCTTCCAATGTCTCTAGATCCCTTTGTACATATTTCATACCTTCCCATCTTGATCTCACTCTGTTTTGTCCATTCTCCTCTTCGGTTCATGTTGGAAATATTCTTTGGGGTGCTATCTTCATGCATTCTTACAATATGTACAAACCATTTTATTCTTTTATTTATTTTAGATCACGAAATAAAAATCCTGTAAATATCACGGGAATAATGTCCCTCATCACCTGACAATACATATTCCTCTACCACCATTCACACACTGAGTACTGCCTAATGCCATAACGTTGAAACATATATTCTTCTGAGTTGTAATACTGTGTAGCTTGGTAGAAGTCCACTGACGTTTTATAGGATCCTATCACCCCCATCTTCAGTGATGAAGGGTAAGACAAGCAAGAAACCAGCAATAAGCAGGCAGTAAGCAGAGCAAAATGTAAGACTTTTATCAAAGTGCATGACATTGCAGCCTAGAGAATTGTATTCTTCATAGTCACAGCTGTGAGATCCTGAAATCTGTTATAAAAATGCACTCTACAGTACTTCACAGAAAATAAAGCAAAAACTGTGTGATATCTGTCAGGTTTGCATACAAATGCTATGGCTTGTAATGTTTTGATTGTTACAGAGCGTGTCATTTATCCAAGAAATGCTCGAGTCATGTCACAAAGGAACCCTGTGATTGGTGGGACGCCCATCACTGAGGAACTAGCTGCTGTATGTATATAAATACCGCCGACTACTGCACATATCAAATGAAATTAAAGTTCTTGGGTGGAAGCTAGTTATGCATCTTGTATCTGTAATGTTACTTTGAACTCTATTCTCCACGAGTGAGTAAAATTTAGTACAAATTTATGACAAGTACCTGTTCTTCTCACAGGATATTGTTGCTTTCTTTGTTACTATAAAAATATATGGTAGTGGTTGCTAAATCCTGAAAGAAGGACAAACATTGCAATTACATAACTAAAATTTATTTATATTTGACTTGGTCAATCACAGTGGCCATGCAGTCTGTGGCTTGAAGTGTCTTTGCCTGCTCAAACACTGGGATTGTGGGTTCAAATCCCAATTAAAGCATATATATTTGTCTCCATTTATTCTGTGTTTGCGTGTAGGTAGTGGCCTTGTGACAGGCTGATCCCACCTCCAAGGAGTCCTACCGACTGTCTAAGATTAAGAAACTGAAGTGAAACAAGCATTTCATGGATACCCTATGCTCCAAGTGGAAGCAACAGGAATAGATAGGTGGGTGGGTGGATGGGTGATCTGAAGTTCACACAGTGGTGACTATAAATAGTTCTATCTTCTGGAATGCGATGTTACTGGACTACACAGTACCATGCCCCCAACCGTAGTACTGTTTTGTTTTACTGATGCAATTAAAAAGCAGATTTGGAATGTGGGCTCAAATCGAAGTCAAAACTGTACTTCAACAGTTGCACATCACCTTCACAGCCATGGCTGCCCTTCATATTTACAAGAGCATGAAATCTGTTTCATAATATCCGAAAAACATAAGAAACAAAATAGATGCATTTTTGTATTAAATTGCCAGTTTGTGTTTAAACCCTTATATAAACTAGTGAATGGATTTAAAATAAAGCACATTAAATACTGATGGTTGAAATATTATACATGGTGCGCCAGAAAGAATGGTTGGATTTCAAGCGAGCGTTACGCCGCGACGGGTGGAGGCGCAGAGTGAGGGGGGGGGGCGACTGTTGGGTCGGCGGGAGAATGCAGTTTCAGTTGGCAATATGGAGTGGTCGGTGGTACAGCGTGTTCGTTGTAGAGACGTTTTTAAAAAGTAGAGAGTCTGTGATCGCCACTCAACGAGCCTTCTGCACTCATTTCGAGCTCGGACGTCGCGGTGGTTGGCTTCATTTCGTGTCACAGGTTCAACCTTAAAGAAGAAATCACCTGTACAGCCACGGAGCGCTCGTACGCCTGCAAATGTGGAGGCAGTAAGGCAGTCCAATCACTTCAACGTTCAGATCTCAAACATGCTGTTGCTCTGAGATTAACCGACGCTATGGTAAGACGCATTTTGCATTTAGACCTTAAATTTCACCCCTATTAAATGGCAATTGTGCAAGAACTTCATGCAGGAGACTGGGAGAAACATGTTAACAGTTGCCAGTGTATTCTTGCCAGTGTGCTCCTTACCGCCGTTCTGTTGACCAGTAACGAAGCCCATTTCCACCTATCCGGCTGTGTAGATAAACAGAATTTCCCATATTGGGCAGGAACAAACCCTAAAGAACTGCACAACAGACCTCTTCACAGTGAAAGAGCAAATGTTTGGTGTGCTGTAGCAGAATTTGGTGTTTGGAGGCCTTACTTTTTTTGAGGACGGCCGTGCAGTAACCGTTACAAGTGCTCGTTACATTGAAATGTTACAAAATTTCCTGCAACCAAGGCTGAACGATCTTGCTGTTGATGCTGAGGACCTTGGGTTTCAACAAGATGAGGCCACTGCTCACACTGCGCGACTAACAATGGATCTCCTGAGAGGGCTCTTTCCGGGGCACATCGTCTCGCATCGCGGTGACATTCCTTGGCCCGCACGTTCGCCCGATCTTGCGCCCTGCGATTTCTCCCTTTTGGGCCATTTGAAGGTGGAAGTTTATGAACATCGACCACATACACTGGACAAGCTGAAGACAGCGATTCGAGAAGACATCACAGCGATTCCACCAGATATGACCACGAGAGTGATGAATAACTTCAGAAAACGCCTCGACGTCTGTATCAGAAACCAAGGGCGTCATATGGATGATGTTGTATTCCATAAATAAACTACATATTTTGGCGAATCTAATTGTAACAATAAAATTTGGATTTGATGAAGCCTTGCCAACTTTATTGCCCTGTGAAATGAATCCATTCTTTCTGATGCATCCTGTATTTCAGCATCATGTATTTTTGTCAGCCAGGCAATCAGTATATACTGATTAATTGTTGTTGTATGTAATACTTATTTAAATTGACCTGTTTAAAATCTTACTTTACATTAAGGAGTAGTTTTCTCCTTGTGCTGTATTTTGGTAAATTTCACTTCACTTAATTTATTGCATTCAAAGATCGAACATTGGTACAAGACAACAAGATAAAGAACCTGTCAATATCACATCAATTTTTTTTCAAACATTGTCCTTTATAAGATACAAAATTTGCCCCATATACATAAACATTTGTGCATAAGTAACTTGTAAATAATTTTAGAGAATTTAATTTTTAGTGCACAGGGAATACCAATGGATGCATGCATATTACCAATCTTGTTCAATTATTATTAGTATATGCAAGGTACTGTCAGACATGTACAAAATCTGACAAATTATCTGCACCATTCAGGAACTAAAACCATTCATAGAATATCCTGTAGCAAAAATTTAATAAGTTACTGATTACAAATCATTAACCTCCATGAATCCTCTAAATTGGTTGTTTTGCTAAGTGATTCACTAGCTGAAAATTAGATTGACAAATTATATAATTGCCATCTGTGCACAGGAGCTGCGACAGGTTGTGTTTGGATGCTCTGTGTCAGCTCCTAAACACGAGTGGCTGCGCACAGGACTGGTATTCAGAGATTCCGATCAAGAACTGGGCTATGGGCTCAAATCACCACGTAATGGCACACGTGGTCTCCTTTCTGTGGTACAGGGTCATATCATCAAACATCTTCTGTTTGAGAAACGAGGCAAGGACCAACACCCTCGACCAGACATGTGAGTCTTAACAAAAATGTTTTCCCATAAGGAAATATGTTTGTCTGTCTACCTGCAATTCTGTGTAGTCTTCCTTTGTACAATTTGTGTTGAATTGTAGATTCATATTAGTTAAATGTTTACCGTGAAGAGAATGTCGTTCTGGTGTGTGAGGTACAGTAAATCATTGTTTTACAACTACTTATTTAATGTATTTTCGTATGTTTGAATAATTAATATCCTTTCTTTTGTATCTGTAATGAATTTCTTCTGTAACAGGAGCAGAATTCTCAGAACATTATCCATTTCTGAAAGTTTTGTTCTAGATATCACACATTCTCCAGTCTTTCACCAATACAGAGGGGTACGGAAAAAGTACTCACTCTTTGATAGTCAGTATCTTTGGAACAAAATGACATGTAGTTACAATTCTTGTGTGGAGAGAGAGAGAGAGAGAGCGAGAGAGAGAGTCATTGTACGTGTTCGAAGTGACCACCATCAGCGGCTAAACAGCGCTGATGCCGCCAAACTGCTGAGCGAACTATGGCTGTCAGTGTGTCCAGTTTTATGGCTGCACACGACACTTCGATGGTTTCTTGTAGCGTATTCAGTGTAGCTGGCTTTTGTCGATAAACTTCATCCTTCAAGGTTCCCCATAGGTAGAAGTCGAGAGGTGTTAAGTCTGGAAACCATGGTGGGTACTCAATAGCACCTCTTCGACCTATCCATCGTCCAGGTAGAGTGTTATCCAAGTACGCCCTGACATCTCGATGGTAGTGAGGTAGAGCACCATGTTGTAGGTAAAATCTCTCATCTTCAAACAGCTCTCAAATGGCAGGGAAAATCAATGTCTGAAGCATATCGAGATACATCTGACCAGTTACGGTACCTTCAAAGAAGAAAGGACCAATCAAACCACGCGATGACAGACCAGACTGCACATTAACACCCGGTAGATTCACCTCCTTGCCCCCATGAACATGTGGATTTACAGGAGCCAAATCCACACAATTGTGGCAGTTAACAGTACTGTTCATTTTGAATTGCGCCACGTCAGACCAGATAACTTTCCCTGCAAACTCCTCATCCTCGCGAACCATGTCTTCAAACCATTTGCAGTATTCAAGCCTTTGATCCGGGTCATCCTCGTTCATAGCGTGCAGCAGTATTGGAATGTACACTAACCACTTTGCAGCCTTCAGAATTCGCCGTACACTTGATCGGCTTACCCCACTTTCGGGTGCACACTGATTCACAGATTTTTGCAGTGATCGTGTAAAGTGTTGCAACACCACAGCACTGGAAGCTGGACTTGTTACTATCCGCGGTCACCCAGATCTTTGCTTATGCACACCATGAACAGTATTGTTGGCTTCAGATTTATCCCGAATATGGGCAATCATTCGATGTGTTGGTGGCTGAGTTCCAAACTCATTCTGCCATTGTTGTTGTACCTCTTTAATATTTTTGTACTTCCAGTACCACTTCAATACAGCCTTGCGTTGCTCAAAGAACAACTTTTCAGCCATTGTTGCTGCTGTCTCCTGCTCACAGTGTGCATGTGACCTTCGCCATCTGTTGAGAAAACGTTTCACTACACTACCACACAAGAATTGTAACTACATCTCATTTTGTTCCAAAGATATTGACTATCAAAGAGTGAGTACATTTTTTTGGAACCCTCTGTATACTATATATTTGCTAGAATTAAAACTGTTGATTTCAATTAATAATCATTATAATAAGTATATGTGTATTGCATGTGCATTATATATATTTGAGGTGGGATAGGTCACTTGATATAGCAGTAGGCTATGGGATGGATTACAAAGGAATTGAGTTTCAACTCCGAGCATGGGCAAGAGACTTCTTCTCTCCATAACATCTAGACTGACTCTGGGGCCTAACCAGCTGTCAATCCAATGGATGCTTGTAGTGCTTCTTTGGATGTAAAGCAGCTGGTGTGTGAAGCTGACCACTCACGTATGTCTTCTATTGAGTTTGAGAATACTTACATGTATTCATAGGGCCGTGCCTTAGCTCAAGCGGTTAGTCGCTGGCTTCCCATCATGGCGGGGCGGGTTCAATCCCAGGTCTGGTCAAGTGGGATTTGTGGTGGACAAAGTGGCGCTGGGGCAGGTTTTCTCAGAGTACTTCGGTTTCCCCTGCCAATCTTCATTCTACCAATTGCTCCACAATCACCCTCACCTATCATCTGGGGCTGGTACAACACGCCAGAAGTGGCCGCAGTACAAGGGACTTAGTCCCACCCCACTAGCAATAAAAAATACATCTATTCATCCACTGTAACAAATGTCTTCATGTCATGATCCTTAACTAATTAAGGACAGGGACAAGTTTACTTCACCTTTATCTTTATTACATATATATTTGCATATAGCAGTGCCGTTATTTTCTGCAGGTTCCACTGTGTGTATAAAGAATAGTCATAACATTCAATATTTAAAACATTCAAAATACATATGTAAGAGTTGAGGTTTTAATGGCAGTGACTAGGAAGAATACGATCTTCTTGGATGTGGCACCCTGTAGATCTTGTGTGAACCGACATTTTGGAGGAACATATCGCCTTCATCCTCAGGTTAGAAAAATCCATGAGCAAGGAACCAGCAGTCATTAAATCATGCTCTTGTCAATGCTATGTAGTCTGTATACTGACAGCGTAAATTAAAAAAAAATAAACAATCTTTTTCAAATTGACAGCATTAACATAGTGGACAATATGGTGGTAAATATTAAGGTTACTTGTGCCATGCAATAATACGTAAGTACCAAAAAGTAATTTTCACCTGAAGAAAGCAGTCTTCTGGGATTTGGCACCGTGTATATGTGGTGTTAACCGACGTTTCGGAGGAACGTATCCCCTCCATCTTCAGGGTAGAAGAAAAAGTATAAGAAATCTGCAAGCGACAANGAAAGCCTCAAATCTTACATAATTTTCACCTGTCTCTGAAAGAACATATCTCTTTTGCATAATGTGAGATTACAAGCACCTTCCTTCTTCTGAGATAGTTACAGGCCAAGGAAATCAAAATATTGGACCCTGAGGTACTGGACAAAGAACTGTAATTATTCATCTAAGCAGGAGACATGCAGGAGAAGCGGCATGTGCAAGTTTTCCTTCCACAATATAACCACTGTTAAAATGTACTTCAAGTTTTGATCTGCATACTGCCTTGTAAGTTCAGGGCATGATATGGACTGTACTACTTCCAGTGATAAAATAGCAGTCAGTAGAATCTATCTGCATCTTAACATTGACTGTGAAACTGTATTTGAACAGAGGGGTAACCAGAACCTTGTTGGTTAAGCATCAACATTAAGCCATGAGTGTTTCAGGATTCTTCATCATTATAAACATCTCTTTTCAATGTTGTGGTCCCATCTCGGGTGTAGATTTGTTTCAGCACTGCCAGGCTTGTGAAAGTTAGGAAGTAAGAAATACCATAAATGGATCATTGCATATAAATTATATATGTCAGTTCATGCAGATTTTAATGATCTCAGTTTTGTGAAATGCTAATATGACTTGCACTGTTCATGATATTATGACATAATATTTCTTATCAAGGATGCTGAAACCATCTCGCATACGGCAAATAGAAGCACTGTGGACTGCCATTGCTGACATCTTGTGGAGAATTGGTGAGAAGAGTAAATGTTCTGTGGTTTTACCCCAGGACTTGGTGCATGTTCCACACAGCCACAAGTATCTACAAGATGGCATCACAGAGAAGGCAAGAGCAGTTTACTTGAGTGTCTTCTTAATACTTTTATGATAAAGCATCCTGTTTATGAAGCTTACAAATGATTAAGGTGTACCACCACAAAAATTTTATTTCATAAGACAGAGTGATTTCCATTATAGGTCTAGCTCATGAAGTGATCATCATCAAGTGGAAATAATAGAAATATATTATTGCAAAAATACTCAACATTTCCACATTGTAAGAACAGATACGCATCTCCAGTTTGGACTTATACTAAATGACTTGATTATAAAAGACTGCATAGGATTCCATTACCCCATATGGCTTCATGGCATGGTGCTTAATTAGTTAAACACAGGGACAACTTTACCATACTTCGTGTAGGACATGAATAGTGCTGTCTTCTGTGACATAATGCCATGTCATCTGGTAGAAGTGAACCAATGGTTTGGAGGAATAAGCAAAGAAAGAAACCAGCATGAAGCGGATAACAAGCAGAGCTGCCTTCTTCTTACTGCTTTATTTCTTGGCTTACTCTTGTGCTCTGGAGATGGAGGCAGTACATTCCTCCAAAACATCTTGTACTTGTTCCACAATATATGGGATCACATCTGAGAACACAGTGCCCTTCAGTGTCATGGTCGTGAGTACTTAAAATCCCATGTATAAGGTTTATTTTGCCTTTAATAATATGTACAAATTATGGTACTTGCAACATTTTAACGACTAATATTGTGTGTTTATTACTAACGAGTAATTCTTAATGATTAAACTACATTTAAACACAATTACAAGATGAATGTGGCTTGGAATATAAATTTACGAAGTTGTTGTCAGAGTTTTAATTGTTTCTATATGAATTTGTGAATATATATGCGTGATTTTACTTGATGATGGTCAAATAGCGATCGAAACATGGGGTGGAGGTGGCTGTCTAATGGAATAAGATGTGCATGATGGCAAACTGTGATCATTTGTCTTTGTAATGTGTTTTGAAACTGCAACATTTCTGTAAACTTTAATGCAGTTGATACTTTCTGTTAATACTGCAGTAGTAATTTTTGTAGTCATTTAGTACATTGTTCTACTCTTAACCTTTAAGTGTCAAATACAGGAACAGATGTTTTTGACACCAGATCTGAGTAAATCAAACTAATATAATTTCATCTCTGTTCCAGTTGAATATATTTGAGTTCACGGACCTAGAGGATCTCCAGATCTTCATTAAGCGACATATTTACATAGTAAGTAGTACATTTACAGTAACTTAGTTTTCTGTTGCAATTTACATGTAAAACGGCAAAGCAGTAGTCACCATTATAAGAGAACATAGCGGTCATTCCCAGTTTAATTTGGTCATTGAAACTTTCTGTACACAAAACAGTATGTGGAAAAACTAATCAAATTCTTACATGCATAGCTAAAAACTAGACCACAAATAAGTAAAGATACTAATAAGATGTCTTGGTTCTGCGTTGTTTTTGTAAACCGGGGGAGTTTTTGTTGTATATATATCTGATGTGTTCTTTTCTTTTTTTTCTTTTTCTTTTTTTTATTTGTTTTATATTATGAATGCCTTGACTTGTCACCCATTTTATACTGTGGAGGAATTTTTTGTATATACTAGTTGGTAAGAGTAATTGTATTCTGGTTCTATTCTGGTTCTCTTCTTATGTCTTGACTTAGTTCTTTGTACTACTTATTTATCTAATACATGATGCAGTGTTAGTAAAATGTCAACCTAACTCTGTTGCAACTCAAGGAGTTACTGGAAAATTTCAACGGCCCTTTGAAGTCCCATATTATACGGCAAACCCTAACTTGTATGAATTACAGGATGAAAATGGAAAACGTAGAGGGTTATTTCATCTGCAACCTTTAAAACCCTATTCAGCACCCCTTGACTAAAGGTGCTATGTTGAGTCATCAACTAATGTTGGATTTCTGGCTTAAAAAAATTGTCCAAACATTTCGACTAGAAGTTTTGAAAGTATATACAAGTTACATAATCTGGAGTTGATATTTTACAAGCAAACAAGTAAAGGTCTTTTTAATGAAAAAAACTAGCTAACCTATACATAGGTGACCTACTCACAGCTACAAGGCGATTCACTATGAGCAACTGTTTCTACCTAAATCATACACTGCGAGCAGCTACGGCCAACTTTACCCTATCCATGGCGACAGTGTGCCTACAGAAAACTGAACGGCTACACTGGAATGGGATTTGAACCCACAATCCCAGTGTTTGTTTTCAGTGGGCGAAGGCATTTCATGCCTGAATCTACATGACAAGTCTGGCCCTCATGATTCATCATTGTAAGGCCATGCCATAGCACATAGTCATTGGCTGCCCACCACAGCAAGCTGGGTTTCATCCTTGGTCAGGCCATGAGGGACTTGGGTTCAAAATCTACTTGTTATCTGCTTCACATGGGTTTCTTGCTTGGCTTATTTTTCAACCTGAAGATGGAGGCGACATGCTTCCTTGAAACATCAGTTAACTTTTAACAGATTACATAGCATTATATCCCAGAAGACAGAACTCCTCACTGGTTGATCAGATTTCATTCATATTGCCATTTGGAGACCTTCCCCTGTTTGTATATTTTAACACCCTATGGTTGGCTATGCTAGTATGCTGTCTATACAGCATACAAACTTGTGAGGCCCATTGAATGTGGGGTCTTAATACTATGTATGACTGTAGGTATTTGAAAGGTGTACAATCTTTATTAAAGTAATATTTTAGGAAGAATGGATGATAAGAACACAGAAACATGTGAAATTATTTTGGAATGATGACAATGATTGATGAAACATAACACTTAAAAACTCTTGTTTTATTAATCCTTTGGCATCCTGAAATATGCTGTACCATTCTTCAGTGCCTTTACACTTTATTATTTTAGTTCTTTACAGGCATGAATTTGGACACATTAAAAAAATTATTCTCTACACTTTGTAAGCTTATGTATTATGATTCTGTCTGCAGTTTGAGGATGATCCTGGACCGGGGGCACTGCTCGTCCTGTACAGTGCCATCTTGACACGAGGAACCCACAAGTGAGTGAATTGTGCTTACCAACTGTTGTTATAAATGGTGAATGTGTTTTGTACTTTTGTATTTACACTGCTTTAACACTGTACACCAGCATGTATGTAATGTGTTTTCAGGCACATTTGCAGCCCCAAGATCAGCTATCCAGTATCTCAGTCCATCCCTCTGTATGCATGAAACAACCCAGTAACTGCTGGAGAGATTTTTATAAAACTTTATACTGGAGAATTGTGCATATAATATGTTGAGTCATTTTATATTTTATTTAAATCAGGCAAGTATAAAGAAGACCAATATGTGTTTCTGTGTACATCTCAGTAAATATTTATTGGGGATAAAAATATTTCAAATAAACGTTGGGGAGAAACATGAGTAGCCACTTTGTGCCCAACATACTTTCCCCAAAAGTCTTACAGTTTTTGAGATATTTAAACAAAACAGACATTGCATATTCAGCAGTCAACAGTGGCCCCCTGAACAAAATCAGAATTAAGAAAAGTAATGAACACGAAAGAAAGTGTGAATTGAGTGACACTGCATTGGAATCAAATTTCTTATTTCTCTTTAATGAAGTGGTGATTTACAACATGACTTTGAAACATACAGTAATCAAATGCTTTGTTAATAAGCATTTTAGTTATTCATGAAATTGTAATGTTTTATGATATACTTGTATTATCATTACCTAATAACTGAATTTCAAACAAACTTCTTAGATTTACGAATGTTGTAGAGAACCATGTACTTTAATTTTGTAATGTTGGAAAGCCTTTTGAAGATGGCCAAGTAAAGTACCTTGATGGAGGAACCTTTCACTTTCACTTTATTTTAAATTCCATAGATCCTTTTCAGGTCATGCATGCCATAGGATATAGAACATGTCAAAATACATAAAAACAATGAACCCATCAACATGCAATACAGTCACAGTACAAAATTTGTACATAAAATATGATCAAATTTATGCAGATATATGATTATCATTGTCACCATAGAAGTCTGATGCAATTATTTTGATCACATAACTACAAATACTTAATTTAACAGTCCAAATATAGTACATTTCATCAGGATTTAAAAATTCAGTATATACAATCAGTCATCAGACATGTTGAGATGATCCAACTAAATTGAATTAGGATCAGCAGACCAAATGGGAGTCCAGTACCTGAGGACTTAAATATACTGGGACACCTTCCAAGGGGTCGTAAATATAGAGAGAGGGCTTGTCTGAAAGCCATACGGAGATAGGCCCTCTGTCAGGTATCCAAAGTCAGGTTAGTGACTTGCTGGGGTCAAAAATACTGTGCAGTGTACCAGCAATAGAAACTGGTTTTTTGCAACATAGAGTAAAGAGACCCTTGGCCTACAGGAGAAGGAAAAGAAAAAGAAACAAGAACTAATCACCTACTTTCCTTTGATATGACACGGACTGCATAGAAAATTATCCATCCACCAATTCTTCTATTGTTACATGTATTTGTTGCCACAAGAATGTGTTTGCTGAGTCATTGCCTAGTGAAGGTAAGGGGGATATACATACAGACATGCAGACTAATGGGAGGGATTTATGAAGTGTGCTGTAGAGATTGGCTCAGGTGCTGTGATATACATACCAAGTTTCATGCCAATTGGTTCAGACATTGAAAAGTTGATGGGGGGAGGGGGGTTCACAGACAGTGAGGTGATATCATAAGCCTACTTTTAATTGTTTTCAAACTGAGAGAAATAGGCTGAAAATAAGAATTGGAGGAAGAGAAATAAGAAGACAGTTACTGGTATGATATAAATCAAAATTAAATGCCAAACAGTTTCTTTTTTCTTAAAAATATCTCCTCCTACTGCCAACCCAACCCACAAATATAGTCCTAAACATATTTGGTGTACAAAACTTATTATTCTTGTGGTAAAGTTTAAATAAATTTAATCAATATTATAGCTCATAAGTTTAAGACAGAATGAAGTTGTTTCATGCATACAAGCAGACAGTAACAATTTGCTCTTTTTTTTGGCTTTGAATTGAACTGAATCAAACCCATAGTTGAGAGCAACAGTTCCTTACTCACAATTGCAATGCAGAATAAATTACCCATGCCACTTTCCTTCTTTCCTTCTTTGTTAAAAATGAAATGTCCTTTGTTTTTATACTTATGTTCAGTCTTGAATTGATATGGATCCAGTTTAGCTCAGTTGGTATAGCAACTAGACTATGGGCTGGACTACAGGGTTCGAGTCCCAGCAGGGGTGAGAGATTTTATCTTCTCCTTAGTGTCCAGACTGGCTTTGGTGCCTGTCCAGCCTCCTATCCGACAGGTACTGGGGGCTATATCTCTGGGGGCAAAGTAGAAGGGTCGTGAAGCTGACCATTCATCTCTATCCAGTACCAAGTCAAAAATGGGGGAGTTGTGCCTCCACTGCACTATAATGGTATCATGTCATAGTGCATAATTGTTCTGATGACCATTATTTTCTGCCTCATCTAATTAACATACATGTCACTGTCAACATAATTTATCAGCCCTTCTAATTACGGCTGTCTTGGTGCAGGGTGAAGACAGACATGGATAATGAGAAAGCATTTTTGATGGCAGGAGCTGAAGAGGGTTCACACTGTATTGTTACGCTCTTGTTGACTGGACGCGCCACCCCATATTTGCATAATGGCGTGGTGTATGTAGGGGATGAAGACCATTATGTAAGTGTTTGAAGATATTCAGATCAAAGTCTGAGGAAACCATTGGCTGTATGTATTAGGAAATTAGACTTATCTGTGTATGTTTCTATGTTTATATTTTGCATTTTCAAAATTAAATAGATAACCTTTTGACATTTAATAAGGGAAAAAGACTCCAATGTTCAGTTTTATAAGTGAGATTAAGATTAAAAGGAATAGACCCGATGATACTGATAGCTGGTTCACTCTTCTGTGGTATGATAGAAAAGAAGTTACTAAGCATCATTTCTCAGAAGTAGGAGAAAAAACTTCAGATGTTCCTGCAGTGATGCATTTAGCCCAGTATCTCATTGTTTAACTGGCCATAAAGAAAAAATGAAGACTAGAGACAACCTGATTTCTTTTTATCTTTTAAATAAAGAGAATTGTGTGATACACTTATCTCGTTTTGACCAACTTCTGACTTAACTCCCCTTTCTGTAACATCAGAAGTACAAGGATAGCTTTACCTTGTGATAGGCCATGGAGGCCCACAGATTTGTGAATGTCATGGCTCCGCACATTTTCTAGTTGGCTGACAGATGGCGGTAAGGTCAGCCTCATGCGCCAGCCACCCTTTACCCCCAGGAAGATTCCTGGTACTCATTTCTGTTAGAAGCTGAGTCTACCACCCCCCCACCCCCTGGACATAGTGCAGCGGCTGGAAGGATTAGGTCAGTTGAAAAATGCAATGACCTCATTGGGAACCAAACCTGTGACTGTACAGCTTGTAGCATAGCACCTCAACGAATTATGATAATGCATGCCCCTAATTTAGCAAACTAAAATGAAACAAAGCAGTCTTCTGGGATTTGGCACCGTGTATATGTGGTGTTAAAATCTCAAATCTCAAATCTTACATAAAATGAAACATTTGGAACACTTGCATTTGGGTGACAGTAACATTTTCTAGTTTGCAAGAAAGATGTCTTAATTTTAAACTTCACATCTGTTTGATATAACTAGTAGTTCTGTATATACACATACACACAAACACACATGCCCAGACAACCACACATTGGCATAAATAAAAACATGCACACACACTCGTGTATACTATGACTTGTTGGGTAATGACCAATAAATGCATCTCCTTGGCAACGAATATGCTTGCAACAATAGGGGAACTGTTAGAAGCAGTGTTTGCTCTGCAGACCATGCCAAAGTTATATAAGGAGAGTCCAGACAGAGTATTTGTCAGTCATGGCCTGGAAGTCAGGAATGTGAGTTGGAGCCATTGTTTGGGTGTGAGACAGGCACCAGCCGGAAACAACCTTCTTGTCTTCTGTTTCACGTTGGTTTCTGGCTTGGCTTATTCTTCGACCCTGAAAGTGGAGTTGGTATATTCCTCTCAAAAGTAAGTTGACTTTGAACGGACTCTATGGCCATTATACCCCAGAAGACAGGATTCTTCATGAGAGAAATTGTTTTCCCTGAGAGACTAAACCTTCACATGCACTAAAAGCATGACCAGGTGATGAGATATCCTGAGATTCATTCAGTGTTCAAACCTTAATGTTGTAATTAAAATTTCAATCGTAAAAAATAACAAAGGATTGAAAAGACTTGTAGTGAAATTTCAATTGTCATTATGCTAGTAAATATTAGAAACGGTAAATAGCTAAGCTAAGCAAAGCACTTAGCAATAATGTATAAAGACATATTCAGTACATTTTTAAAGACTTATGTTTCAGCTGTGTTTGTTATGTAGGTCTTAATGGGAGTTACCATGATAATAAGGATGAGGGAAAAATGAAGTGGTTGTGGTGTATTGCAAGAAGTTGTAATATCAGAACTTTCATCCCACCTTATGCATATCTTTATACATATAATAATATGCATAGGGTGATTCAGGATGAGTCTACAAAATTCATCAGTACATTAAAAAATTGATTTTGGGTAAAATAAAAGTCCTATTAACATGTGTCCATTTCAGGAAGTTTCAGGAGTCATGGTGGTTTGAAATTAAGGTAAGGACATAACAAAAATAAGGATCTTTAATGAAAAGTTTCACAATAACTTCAACGTAAAATAAAACCAAGCATTCTACAGAAATATATTGATAGACGATGTAGGAGGAGTTGTATATGATGTAACATTCCCAATGATTTCTGATGTCAGGCAATGCCACAGTTCGGTATACTCAGTCGGAGTGAGGTCGGGTTCCTGGTGTGGGATGAATGTCCTGATGGGAAAGTGGAGGAATCCAGGCAACCAGGATCAAGACTCAAGACGCCCTCATTGCCTGTGTGGGTGTCCTTGTGTGCTGGACATTACGGGGTACTCTTCAACACAAACCGGGAGCTGCTTCGCAATTACCATGCAGAACGCAGGTGATTAGACTCTGTCACTGGGTGGGTGTAGATGTTTATGGAGAGCGAAATATGGTTCAGGATGTAGATGTGGACTGATGCCAACTGTTGCTAACCACTCTCCCATAAATTAGTGGAAGTTACAGGAAGCTGATGATAGTTGGACATGATGTGAATTCCTCTCAGAGCACAGTTTGTTGATGCTGAGCCCAGCTCATGGAAAAAATACTGTGGTATGTCTGCTGAAAGCCAGAATTGTGAAGCCAACAGAGACAGCTGCTGATAGGGAACAGTTCTTCAAACACAATGGCTCAGTAGCTGTTATGTGATGGCCTCAACAGACACACATGCAACAACAAAAAAGCTGTTTGAAGCGATGTTTTCTGTGCAGCCTGTATTGAGGCTGTATAATGAGAATTAGGTGCCATTACAAGAGAACCAAGGTCTGCATGGAGTCAGTCAGTTGAGAGTTGCAGAAGCTGGCAGCTGAGGCCGGGAGACACTTCAGAAACCCAGAGGAAGGGGAACATCCACTGTTGGTAGTTGCTACGAAGCAGTGCAGTGTAGACCATGACAGAGAACACTGGTGTGTGTGTGATAGTGATTTTTGAAGTGTAGTCACGAGTTGTGGGTTAGAGTGTCCAGTAAGTCCGATTACAAATCCAAACCATCTTTATAGTCAGTTGATCATGTGACAATACCTTTTATTATATTTTTCAAAGTGTTTTCTGGGCTGATACAGCTAATATGAATGTTCTGCTGAGGGTCCATTGTATAAAGTGCATGTTACTTTTTCTTGATGGCTATATCAACCACATGATGCAGAATGTTGGGAAGCTGGGTTGGAAAACCCAGGAGAAAGAAAACAAAAAGTGAGATAGTAAGAGAGATAATAACATTATATCAGCACTTTCCCTTGTAATCCCCCCCTCAAAAGAAAAGGGGAAGAGGAGGAAATACCAATGATAACTTCATATCATAATTTCCATTAATTCCAGATTCACTGTATAGTGGTTTCTGAATGATAGGTGTACAGTAACCTGAAAGGGGGAAGGAGGGTGGTACATTGGCTTTCACATGTGAAATTAAGAAAATGCCAAAATGAGTACCAGTAGCTTTTCATATAGTCAGAATAACTTGAAGGAAATATCTCAGAAATCACACTGTCATGTGTTTAGGTGTGACTATAGACAGGGTTTGAATTGGAGATTGGATTTATTGACTGCTTTATCACATGACTCGTAACAAGTAATTATAACATTATCGCTGATCTCCACACTTTACAAATCCGTACAGCGCATGCTAAACCATCTCAGTCTGCTTTCACTAGTCGTTTCCTGATAACAGATCTTAACAGTGGAGATTACTCAGCATCTGTGCTCAAGTCATTACACGTCCACACCTGTACTCTTGTTCCAGTTGACTAACTCCCAGGTTAGCAGCATTCTCACACTAACCTCCTAATCTTCTCTCCACTGACTCCCTTACAACTGCCTAACTTCTAAACTTGTCTTGGTTATAACATCTTGGCACGGACCACCTGGAAAACAGTTTCCAACAGTTCTTCTATTGTCATGCCTGGACTCGTTGCCATGGGAACCTGTTTGTTTCACTGTTGCTACCTAGCAATGCTACAATATTTACTCTTGTAACCACCAATTTGTGAGCTTGAATTTCAGTGTGCTTTTGTATTGCACTAACACTACTTTGCCTGCAGACATCACACCAATCCAATGCTTAGCACACAGCTACATCAACTTTTGTCACCTTGCAGGCTGATTAGCTGAGAACTTGTTTTCAATTATCCTTTGACCCCCTCCTGTAGCTGCTGAAACAATGCAAAGCTTGCCAGCTGTACAGTTCTTGTTCCAAATCGGTCTTAAACATGTTAACAGATCTTTGGCCATCTTGTGTGAATTGAAAATACAAAATAGGGGGGGGGGGATAGACATGGAAATGAAATAAAGAAACTCTACTTTGAGTCTAACAGAGAGGTTATAGTTCAAGTGAAGCCCTTCTGAACCCTTGTCTCAAAAGGATTTAGACACTTTTGGTTTCCACAACAATAAGAAGACAGAGACGTGGCTTGAAATTAAGTTTTTTACTCCTTTTCTTCTTTGGCTTGGGTCACAAATGAATACCAAGCACCTCTCTAACTCAGATGTGAATCTGCAAGCCGTGCAGCATAGGATTACCTTGAGCAAGTGCTAAGATGTGACAAAAGAAAATAATATTCAGGCCAAAGCAATTGTGGCTTTGGGTCTGGAAGTGAGAATAGAAATGGGGTGACATGGTGTGGAACTGAAATGAGGTGAGGCAGAAATGGACTTAATCCATACATGATAATGGCTTCATATCTACGTTATTAATTTTCTTGGTCATTCTAAATACTCACATACAATGTTTTGAGATAAATAACAAGAAATATTGAGTGGAAGAAAAAGAAACATGAAATGTGCCATTTCAAGAATGAGTGACATTTTATTTCATAAACAATGAGACTGTTTCTAAGATAAAATGGAACCTTTATCAGCTCATGATTGTCTGTGCCCAGGTTTGATCTTCACTATTATACATGTGGAGGCAGTCACAGTCTACTCACTGTAGATACACGCTACAATGAAGATGAGGTGTGTGGCAAGCAGGCTGGGCGAGAGGACTTCAGTACAGCTCCTCCCCTAGAAAAACTCATACACACAAAGTGAGTGTCTACTGTATTACATAGAGTGAATGTATTGAGCCCTTTGACCCTTTGTTGATTAGTATCATCTTGGAGACATAGCCAGTCGCCTTTTTTTGAGATGTTTAAAGTTTAGTCTTAGATTGACTAGCATTTTTTAATGTCATGGCAGGTTTATGTTCTTCTGTGGCATTTCTTTGATCAAAGAATGCACTTTATCATTATATATCATAAAAGATCTAAAAATACGGAATACTGCAATGGCAGGTACTTGCTGTCATTTGACTGCATTTGTAAGGTCTGGCAGCTGTTGAGGGGTTAACGTTTTTGCACTGACTATTACCAAGATATTAAAGCTTTGTGCACCACATGATTGGCTAGATACAGTTGCATTAAAACTGCCAAATTCATAGAGTGGCTCACTGTTAACCACTTGGTACAGCATTTCTCTTGATAGATGTTTTCAAATTTTATAAACCAATGTTTAGATGATAGTTTAATTGACGCAAGTAAAGAGGTTGGTCTAGAAGTAAACACAGAGAAAACTAAGTATATGTTACTGTCTCGTCACCAAAATGCAGGGCAAAATCATGACATAAAGATAGGGAACAGATGTTTTGAAAATGTGGCACAGTTCAGATATTGGCAACAACGATAACAGATCTAAACCTGATTTAGGAGGAAATTAAGAGGCGACTGAACTCAGGTAATGCTTTACCATTCAGTCCAGAACCTTTTGTCTTCTCGTCGTCCAAAAACATAAAAATTAGAATATACAAAACTATAATTTTGCCTGTGGTTCTGTATGGGTGTGAAACTTGGTCTCTGACATTAAGGGAGGAACATAGACTGAGGGTGTATGAGGAGAATATTTGGACCAAAGAACCTTCGGGTTCCATAAAATGCTGTGAAATTCTTGAGTAGCTGCAGAATTGGTGGCTCCTCCAGAAGGGCTCAGCTCCATGAGGAAGTAAGTAAGTAAGTAAGTAAGTATGTTTAGATGGGGAGGCTGGATTTCACACTCTGCATTCGTGATCATTTGAAGGTAGTCTGCAGAAGTACTGTGGGTTTTTGTATGCAAGGACATTTACCCCTAAACAGCTAGGGGTAGTTCTAGCAGGTAGTTCTGTGGTGTGGCTTGACAGTCAAAGGGTTAAAGAAACTGATTTAAACTTTAAACGCAGACAATCTGACATATTAGAAGAATAAGTGTCTTAGTTTGACATGTAATGTCTCATTTCAGGTGGGAGGATGCACATGTGCGCTGGACAGGTCAAGCTCCAGTTGCATGACTTACAGCTGTACTACTTAGCAATAAACTCCCTTCCTGCAAGTCTAAGCAGTTGTGTTGTGTTCCACTTGCTGCTCCAAGCTAATCACACAAAAATATAAACAATAGCTCATCAATAGAGCATATTCAGTGCATCCAATTTTTAGCCTACAGAGAATAGTACTGTTACCGAAGTTATTTGTTGTCAGAGAAAGCACTAGACAAGACCAGGCTATAGCATTAACATTGGTGTATACATTTTTTTGTTACAAAATATATAAGAGATGACTGGAAAGCAGAAAGTAGTACAGTTCCTCAGATGATAGCAGTGAGTGAAGTTTGAATTTTGAACTGTGCAGTCTTTTTGTGAGTTAAGTTCAAGTTTCAAATTGCAAAGATATGTGCATATTCTTCACTTGAGAACACTGTACCATTGGTGAATTAACTCAGTGAAGTAAAGTTTTTTTTTTGGGAGGGGGATAACAATCAGTCAAGAAATCCTCTGCCTTTTATGGAACCTGAAGGTACATTACCATGGATGAGCAGATTCTCATGGTATTTAATATTGGTAGTCCTTACTAAAGTTGAACATTTCAAGCTTATTTTGGTCTGTTTTTTATAGTTCAGTTTATCAATTAGTGAAAAACAAATGCTGAATAATTAAAAATATGTAACAGATTTTGATGAAATTTAATATTTGGAGTTGCTAGGATCAAAGTGAGTTTTCAACAGTACTTGCCAGTTAAGTCAGCCATTTTACATGATGACCACAATTAATACTTAAGAACATTTCATTTAATATTCACCAAATTCTGAAGCTAAGACTTGATGAGGTAAGCATTATGTGTCACACACATTTCCTCAGTATTCAGTGCTGATTTTAATAAAAACAGCCCTTTAAGATTTGCCATGAAACCCTCTACAGGGAATTAAATATATATAAAAAAAATCTGTTTCATGTTGTGCCAAACCTCATCATGTGCAATGCATATGTCAATTCCCATAACTGAATGTTCACTAAACAAGATGCACACTGGGAAAGGTTAAGGTCTACAATTCTGACAGATATGCTGCTGAACAGTTGTGCACTGCTGTGAGGTAAATACAGAGCAACTGCTTCTCCCCTCAGTAATTCTGGAATGGAATCTTTCTTTTCTATAACTACAACAAAGAGTTTATGTTTGTTTTCCTATTTATAGTCTTGATATATTTTTGTCTGGTAATTTCTTATGATTTTATTCAGTAGTATTTTGATGTGAACATAATGTGTGAACTCAACAGGTAAGAAAATCTGTAGTGTAGATGTTTTCTTCTGTCTGTGTCATGAGGTTCCCATGTCTCACCCCCTGTTAGGAGACTATGTGAGTCCTAGACAGAATAAATTCCACAGGCCTTGCAAGAGCCTTACCAGTTCCTCTGTTCCACTGCCAAGGCTCACAGCTTTTATTTCTGTAAATGGGGCTGAAATAATCCATTCCAATTGAGGTGACCGAGCACAGGAATTCATAATGGGCTTTGTACAATGTGTGAGTAATTTTGTGCTATTATATGTGGTAGAGTCATTAAGTTCGTGGAATGTGGTCTTATCGCATCATATTACAAGATATTCACATACGCTTATGCAGATCCACATCGACCTTCAAAATAGTTGCCGTTTGTTGCTATGCAAGTCTGCCAACGTTGATATAGCTGTCAAAAACATTGCTGAAGCACATTGGCAGTAAATTCCTGTATGACGCTTTTCGGCCATTCCACGAACTTATTGACTGTGGTAGTATTCCACTTCCATGAACATTTGTGCCATGTATTAGCAAAGCTGTTCTTCAAAACATTTTTTTCCTCTGATAAATATTTAGTAAGTTACATTTCAGATGCAAGCAGAAATGCACATACATCTTCATGTAAGGTGTCTTGTTATTTTTTTCCAGTTTTAACCAAAAACTAAAATATGCTGACAATTTTTAGTAAAACTCCCCACTATCAAATTTTATGAAAATCCATTTAGCAGTTTTTGAGTCATCACAACTGAACACAGAGATGGATGGACACACATGGCAAAGCCAAAAGCTGTGTTCTTACAACTTTCCTTTGTAAAGACACAAAAAATTGCACAAAACCTATTCCTAGGGTTATATGCTTCAAGTCTTATTTAAAAAATGGCAAATACAAGAAAAGATATGTCTAAGTACATTTAATGTGAATATATATCATGCATTAATGGTCATCACATATGCAGAATGACTGTTACTTTTGTAATGTTTGTTAATTTGTTTATATAAACTATATGGACTGAGAGCAATTGACTGTTCATAGTTAAAATGCATATGGATATTTAAAGAACAAAGTATGTATTTTTATCCATTAACAATCTCCAGTTCATACAAGTACAAATATACATAAAAATGAGATAAAAATTTGACACTGACTTGTTGATTACTGTATCAAATCTCTATTTTGATCTGTTAACACTTAACATTTTCTAGTTTATACAAATCCTTAAATGAATAATATAAAAAACTTGTTCTTGTATATAACTGATTACCCATAAAAGAATAAAAAAATATATTTTCAAAAATTCAATTGCAATTATGGCAGTCTGCACAAGCAACCTGATACAGCAAGTAATGGAGAAAAAGTTAAATTTAGACTAAACACCCTAGGAGGGTATATTACTTTTGTATTACAACTGTCTGTATTTTATAAATTCTTTGATTTGTCTTTCCATCAATTTTTACTGATCTTGAAACAAGAAAAGACAGAATAAAAAGGTTTAACATCTTGCAGTTCACATTCAAATCACACTCCATGTATCCATCTTGGATATAAAAACTGGACATCAAAATCTTGAGCGCCATCAGAAAAGATATCGCCTAACATATATTTAAAGGCATGTCATGCCTTGAGTAGGTAACCTTTACAGAAGAAAAGTCCTGTATGTTCATGTCTACAGTACGGCAACTTCGGATCTCACTGTATGTTAAGTTAGAATTCGGTAACTTTCTGAAGATGTAATGATGTATGATAATGTACCCTGAAAGATGTGCTCTGTACATAAATCTTGGAGCATGCTACATTGAGGAAAACTTTAAATGAAGGAAATCAAGCAATGAGATATAGTAATTGGATATGAACCACAGATACAAATGCCAAATGGTGAAGAATTTCAAACTGAGGAACCCTAATTCGAAATTCCATTTTACAGAATAAGTGAAACATATCTTTCAGAAGAGAGAACTTTGTTAATTACCTACAGAATCTTCTGTGATATGACAAAGTCATATGTATGGCATCAAGAACAGAGTACGACACCTGAAAATTCCAGGGCAACAAAGTTATGACATGGTGCCAACCTCTAAAAAGGATTCTTAAACCTGCTCCCGGAACAATATTAGCAAGATCAGTGTCTTTATACATCCTGTTTCATACCAATTTGTTGCACGACATACTACTGGGAGCTGTCACTGAAAGTCTTAACAAGACTGGCAGCTTCTGATATGTGTGGTGTTTGGATAGGTCAATAAATGAATCCTTCAGAACACTAAAGAGCATTGCTTTAACATCAGACATTTCTGTGCATGCTGTATCTAAAAACCTAATTACTGAGGGTAAGATTTTTGTGATGATCTGCTGAGAAAATAACTGGCTTCATCCTATCCGCTCTGTTTCAACGGGTAATTCCTGTTCACTGAAACATATAACATACAGTATAATAGATACACAAATGTGTGAAGACAGCACCACACGCTGCTAGAGGGAACAACACATGGCAAGAGGCATATTGCAGATGTAGCAAAACAATGGACTAAAGAACAGGAAAGCAAGCTGCTTAAACAGCTGAATAAACTCTAAATAAGTGGATGACACCCCTTATGACGTGGAATAGGTTTTTATGAAACATTTTAATGGATTTTAAGTAATTATTTATGTTATTTAAGTGGACTGCAACACACGATGTTAGTGCACTTCAGAACAGTGTAACAGTTGGACGCATTAAAAAACGCCTGAAGATGACCATTTATGGCCGAAACATGTTGTGTTGAGTGTTAAATGGTGAATAAAACAATTGTTGCATTATAGACGGACTGTGAATACATATATCAGAATATCAAAATATTTGGATTAAGGTCTTCTGCATTGTGATGCCATAGAGTATGGCAGAAAGGTACCAACATTTCAGCAGTACCTGCTCCCAACATCTGGGAGGAGAATGGTCACTTCCACCTTCCTACCCTGATGATGGAAGTAGCTTCTTTCTTCGAAACATTGGTACCCATCTACCAAATTAAACACCATTGCATCCAGGAAAACCATAATCTTAACATTCACCTAAAATTTTATATCCAAATATGAACGTGAATTTTGTAGCTCCACATATAACTTTCCCTTGAGTGATACTTGGCATGTATTTGAATGACAGCTGTAATGTCACATTTGTTCTTAACCTCCAAAATTGTATCTTTAAAATGTTTCAAAGTTCCAGTCTTTGTTTAAATTGTTCTGTTTATGCTTTAATAATATGGATGCCTGCATTATCTGTGCCATGTATTCTTCAGTCTTCCAGGGTCATCACATACAGGATATGCATCTTCCACAGTATTACAAGGCAGTGTGATGCCTTCAACACAGAATATCATGATGTATGTCCATTGAGATACAATGCAGGTACAGCAGTAGAAACTGCAATATGAAGTACTGAACAGGTATGGCAGAGGTGACCCTGTGAACTGCTACCAAATAAGATCCTGTACAAAACTAAATTTGTGCTCTGAATGTGGGCATACACAGCTCTGAGTATCACATGTACTGAAAGGGTTACACAGCTTCATCAGTCTCACAAGAAAAACTTGTGGTAACTTTCAGTGATAAACCAACTTCCCATCATAATGTTATATTTTAGCGTCCTGTTGCACTGATTTAAGNCCATCATAACCTTCCTATGTTATACAGCATTCTGACCATCTTTGTCATCTTTTACAAACTTCACTATAACCGCATCCTTAAGCACATTCCCTCCAACATGGCAGTATATCTTCTCCACCTGGCCGTCTCTTGGCGCGCGGATCACATGCTGCAACATGCAAAATTTTTGAGTTAGTATCATGTCCTAACCAATAATCTCCAATTTTCTTTAATTCAGAAATCAGGAATGTCAGAACCGTAGAGGGTGCAACCAAAAAGAATACCTGGTATGCAGATGGAGAAGAATTAGCACAACATGTGCTCATTACTCATATTTTGAGAATGTGGAATGTATGCAATGGCTGCTGCCTGCATGCAGGTGCCTGTGGAAAATGCTAGTTTTAGATGATTTCTTTGGAAGCATCTTTTGATCGTTCTAGCCATGCAGCTGGACAAAAAAAAAACATCACCAGTGAGGTGTGACCAAGAAAAGAACCCAGATACCTGGGTCAAACTGTGATTGCCTTGACTCTTCTTTCCAGTAATTGGATATGAACTTGAATAACAGCCATTGCAGTAGTGGACAGAGAGTGTTCACAAAATTATGAGCAACTAAAAGGAACAAGGTTAACTAGAGACTTATGGTAGGGTAGAATGTTAAATGGTGAAGATGCAAATATTGTAATTAAAGAGTAGTATAGTTCAAGAGCTATGTCCTTGACGTCCAGAGACTTATTCACAACTCACACATTCCCAGAGCTAACATTAAATAGGATGACCAATGGTCTGGTAAATGGTAAAATTGCAAGCTGAATGTCTGCTCATGGGACCTGTACCAGCTTGTGGCATTTCAGCAGGAACTGCCAAGAAAGCTGTCAGGGATTGGACAAACAGACACGTAGTAAAGATAAGCAGCGGCACACACACAGGGAGCCCACACAGAATAACACCTATACAGTGCTGAAAACAAGAAGTAACCACTGCAGCACTATAGATGTGGGGCGAGTACCCTGAGAATTTTAAATTTTAAAGAAATTTTTAAAATTGGAACTGAAGATTTTAAAAGTGCCAGTTCATGAAGGTCAAAATTGACGTGTGTGGGTGGCAAAGATGATGTACGAATCAGACAAATATCAGCGAAGTAGATCCTGTTAGCAGCAACGAAGAAAACAATTTGGAAGACCTGTATGTTTTTAAATTTTAAACTGGGTGCAGTGTAACAGCTACGTGAGTGTATTCACCTGATGATGGCCGTTTGTGGCAGAAACATGTAGTGTAGAAAAAAGCAAGATGATAGACCTACAATAAATTGTTGCACTTAGGACGGAGTTTATATCATATACTGTGTAGTTTATAGCACTGAACTACTTTGGCTTAAACATGATATAACACCTTCAGATGTCGTCTTGCCACAGTGCACCACTTCCAAGGTTGAAACATCCATAGGTGAAGTAAGTGACAGATTATGGAAATGACAGTGCACAGGGAGGACCTACAACTTGACATGGACTCCAAACTGCATTGACCTCATATTTCCAACATTCCCAGAATTTGAACTTGACAAGGTAAGAGATGGGAAACCTAAAAAACAAGTTTGTGAGGTTTCAACTTAATGCTTTAAACAACACCCGCCTTTGTGTTGTTGGTGATGATAATGCACTGGCAATAAAGGCTATCAGAGTATTTGTCACATTTCTTTTTTATAAGTTTGTCACAAAAAAATCCTTCAGTTTTTCAGTGACATTCTGTGTTTAGCCAGCAGTATTCTAGACCTAGCTGTGAAAAATTGAGTAGTGAATGCACCTCCATCTTCATAGCAATGATAACAAACAGGGGTTCCCCTATCTTGACGATATCGCCAGCAGTCACATATAACTTTTCCACCACTCCTGGCATTGGTGCAACTGCTACATCGCCCCCCACAGCGCCAACACCCTCTTTCTCCACAGACATGAACTTGTGTACAGGTAAGGCAAACTGGTAGCTCCCATCCTGTAACACAAATGTCATCATCAGTAGACAGTAACACAATCTTAAGTAAGTAGAGGCTGAGTCCAGCAATTTCTAACACACAAGAATTTCTTATTAAGGATAACATTGCTTTGTCAGAGATCTCCATTCGTGTTTACACAGTGACTGTGATTCATATTATACATGTAAGAATAAGCCAACAAATGTCCTAAGTGTTGGAACATATTTGAATTGTGGACCTAAAAGATTTTCTTTACATGCCTAGAAGTATCATAATTCAAGAAAGGAATTCATCTGTCATTATAGAATATCCAATACACAGTGACCTTAGTGCTTCACATACATGGAAAGAAACTTCCTTTCATCCATAACATGCAATATTCAAAAGGAACATTTTACCAAAAGTCAATTCTCCACTGTTTGCAAGAAATGCCCTGTCTCCCTAGAGCTTCTGCAAGATACTTTCAGGAAGAAAAGATATTATTTTATGTACAGGAACTTGTTGTTCCAGATGGACTGTCACAAATGCTACAACTACTGGGCACATCATCTTCAAACTGATGAAAGATCACAAAACTGTTTTGTGAAGTGGGTGGCAGTAGGCTGACATACATCCAGGCTGGAAGGGAAGATCCAATGGCCATCAGCAGCAAAGTGCACCAGAGATTTCATCTCAGAAGAAGACTACATTTATAAATGGTCTCCATGGAAATGACGGCAATTTCCAGTGGTGGGAATATGAGGATAACATTGCTGCTGCTGATGATGATGCAGAGTCTTATTACTGATGATAGTCTGTGACTTCATGTAAACAGGTATGCTTATTTTTCTTCTGTACTGAATTTGTGCTTTCATTATTATATCTATGAAGTACACAATGCCCAAATTTGGTTTGTAGCATAGTGCCTCAACCAACTATGCTACCGCGTGCCCCAATACACAATTCATTGTTACAATAAAAAAAATAATGCTTTAGCTTTGATGAAATGGAACATCATTGTGAACAGAGTCTGAACAAATGCCACCAGCTAGAGAAGTCCCTAATGGAAATGCAATCATACCCAATTTTTTGACATTACTAGAGCCCATTGTCAATAAAAATTAATGTGTTTTAAGCAATGTATGTAACTATATGAGGCAACATGAAACTTGAAGAGAGCAGTCTTCTGGGATTTGGCACCGTGTATATGTGGTGTTAACCGACGTTTCGGAGGAACGTATCGCCTCCATCTTCAGGGTAGAAGAAAAAATATATAAGAAATCTGCAAGCAAAGAGACCGTGAGAACCGGCAAAAGCATTACCGGTTCTCACGGTCTCTTTGCTTGCAGATTTCATATATATTTTTTCTTCTACCCTGAAGATGGAGGCGATACTTTCCTCCGAAACGTCGGTTAACACCACATATACACGGTGCCAAATCCCAGAAGACTGCTTTCTTCATAGTCACTGCTGTGAAAGCCTCAAATCTTACAACATGAAACTTGTTCACTCTAAGCTGTTCTGACTGTTTGTAAGTCATGGTGTCACAAAGTATACATTTTTCATTTCAAGACATATAATTTTTGGGATAGAGCTTATATACACACAAATATAGTATACGGACATGAATCCTGAATAAAATACCATTTCATATATTCACAGAAATTTGTAGATATCAAACAGGGACTGTATGAAACTGTTTGCAAATTTAAAGTACTTAAAAAATTTTACAAATCATTCTCTGTTAATGATCTAATATTCTTCTAACCACTCTGTATGCCTCACCTCCAAACAAGAGACTATCCTTATAGTACATTATCCCCTACCTTCGTGAACAAATGGATGTGAGTGGGAGTGATGACCACATGGGACTTGACTACTCTCTTATCCATATGACAGGTGATATTCAATCTGCCATCAGTCAAAGACAGAGTTCCTGATATGTCGAATTGCTTCTCTGCACCGTTAATCCGCATCAAGAAACCATCTTGTTTCTTGTGGGTCACCTGTACTGTAATGACTGTAACACATATCAGATGTGATCAAACGTGACGGCAACATATATAATTGGTACAGTTCCATGAAGGGGTGTTACAACATTTCTGCAAGAGCCAAAATGCAAAGTAGTTTCACGTGACTGTGTGACCAGAGATGGGTTTTGGTTTGGAAATTGGATTTATTGAACTCAGTACAAGTAATTATAACCGTTTCACTAAATCACACATTTTACAGTTCACTAGAGCACATATTTATGGCTTCTCAGAATGCTGCCTTTACCAGTCTTGCCTGGCAATGGTTTCCAACGGCGAACGTTCCCCTTCCTCTGGGTTCCTGAACTGCCCCTGTGCCTCAGCTACTTAAACTCTTGACTGAATGGCTCTGACTGACTCTCCTACCTATAACATCTTGGCATGGACTGCATAGAAAGCACCATTCCTCTATTGCTATTTACTGGCTGTTGTCCAGAAACGGCCATTATCTAGTGGTTTGTTTCGCGGTCGTTTCCTAGCAATGGGTCTACATGTCACAACAGTTTCCAAATACATCTTTTATTTCACTTAATATTAACCCTTTCTGGTTATCACATTTGGAAAGATTTCTGCATCCAGGTCCATCAAGGGATTTTAAATCCCAGCAGAGCCACTAAGCGAGCTGCTTTGCTTGACAAGTTGGTGCAACAAGGACATAAAGCGAAAAATCAAAAGGTATACTTACCAGCACAATGCAAGATGACAAATTCTCTGCCGTGTAGTGGTGTATGACAAGTTTGGAGAGAGGTTGTAGTGTTTCACTGGCTCATACAAACTATACACACATTCCTTTCTTCATCTTAAAATAGAAATGTTTCTTTTCTGGCTCCCTTGACCTTCCAATTGCTGCACACAATGCAGTCTTTGTGTTTCCTTTTTTTCATAGTGGTAGAGGAAGTGAGATGCTGTATTTAGTCTCTCTTCTCTCTCAGCTGACCCCGGATGTGACCTCTTCCTTGTGAATACTGAATTGGAGAGAATGTGGAAGAGGTTGCAACCTAATCTGGGTTACTATCATGACTTTTGCCTGGAGGAACTGAGAAAAACTGGGGGNGTCAGTCTTCAAATACAAAAAAGCAGTGCCAATTACTTACAGACAATGTTTGGTCAACTCGGCGTGTCCCAACTATGAGCCAGATGTTATATCGTTATGCCAACCCAGTTGGTCTTTAGACTTATTCATATCATGAATGTTATAATGTCTGAACATATCTGTTCAAGATACATGAAGCCTGAGTCATCTGGCTGTGTACCTTGTTTTCCATATGTGAAACTGATATCACGAACTAACAGGTGGTTGAGTCGAAAACCAAATTCAGAAAAAAATGGACTGAATGGACCCTGGGATGCTGCAGCAGCTTTCTCATCCTCTAGCTGTTCACTCAGTATCATGGCCAGGGCTGCCTAGAAAGAAACAATTATGACACAGCTGGAGCATAAGTACACTTGGTTGCACAGCACAAGCATGAGGGAAAGTCAGTAAATAGGTCACAAATGGAAGTAAAACATCTGTAATGGATGTAGTAGGTTTTGTATGTGTATCATTAGCTAGCAGCACAGTCCAGCTTCATGACAGTCTAGGTAGCAGACATGCAGGTGTATGTTCAGAGGCTGGTTTCAGTAGTCAAAACAGCAAACATGCTCGAGGTGTATACTACCAAAGAGCAGCGTTTTGTCATGTGTTTTTCTCTGGGGAAAAGGATTCAAATCAGAAGATATTCTTCAAGAAATGTTTCCTGTTTTTGGTAGGAAGTGTCTGTCGCATAAAGTGTTTCAAACTGGGTCAAGAAATTCTTATGGACATTCCAAAGTCGCAGATGATGCCTGACTGTGTGCAGAAGCGGCTCAGACAACAGTCAAATGACTTCTGTGCTCTGGATTTTGACGCACTGGTAAAGTGATAGGACAAGAGTATCACTGTTGGTGGATGATATGTTAAGAAATAAATGATTTTTCCAGGTTCGAACGTCACATTTTACGTTTTATGTTTATTTGTGAACTATTACCGACTCTCCCTCATATGTTGGGTGAGACAGAATTCTGTTTCATTTCACAAGCTGCAAAGGTTTGTGTCACTGCCATGATGGTACACATGTATTTACATTGTACTGAGAATGTTTCTATAGGTTTTGTAACATTAACTGACTGTATATCATTCTTGTAGTGTTTAACCCTTTGAGTGCCATGCCCCAACAAAGAATTACTTGCTACAAATTCCAAAGCAGCTTGGGTATGAATGCCACTGTACACCAAAACCCACAACACTTCTGGAGACAACCTTCAAACAATCACAGATGCAGATGGCATGAAAGCCTCTTCTTTCTTCTAAATATTGATATATAACATTTGACGCCATCTATTGAAAGAAGTGCTGTATTAATGACTAACACAGAGCCAATAGATTCCAGCTGTGGCATTTTTTACATAAATGTACTAAGCTGATCTAATTAGCTTGTGCTGTGAAGGGTTGAATTCACACATTGTTTCCGATGGGCATGGGTCTTGCAATATCTCAACATATATCAATGTCTTGTGTGTCAAGATCTCAGCTGAGTCACTGTCTTAAAGTCTAGTGGCACATTTGAGTGACTGCTGACAGTCACCAGTTTGAAGAAGTACACCTACACAGTAATTTTTGTTCAACAGCCTGTAATACTTCAGTTGACAAACTGATTGCCTATAGATCTGAAAACTGAGGCATGAAATCCCTTCACCAGCAGATCCAGAAACACTCTGGAGACACAAAGAGTCTCATATCTGCATTGCATAATGCCTAAGCTCATATGGATTTTTTTCAGATTACTTCATGACGCTTTCAGTATCGAGACTACAGAGCCTCAAATGATGAAATGAGAGAGTAATGAATTGAAAAGTATTTCGAAGGAAACCACTGTGGTCTCACTGAGGTACTAGCCCAGCATTCGCCTGCAGGGACTGAGAAAAACCATGAAAACCTCATGATAGCTGATGTCCCAGCCAAGAATCAAAATGAGCACCTACTGAATACAAGTCTAGAGTGATAACTCTAGACCAGACTGTTCGGTAAGTTCAAGCTGAATTCTACTAACATTTAGCACAAGACTTATTTCAAAGCCACATCAATTCATCTTCTGGCTTGGGCAGATATGACAGTAAAAATGTCTAAAAAGGAAAAAATATGTCTCTTTCAGAAGTTACCATATGCCCAAATTAATGTATTGTGGCATATTTGCTTAAAGCAAGAGCTGTGGAGCCAGGGAAACAGCTGTTGCTAGCGAACGGCTCTGAAACAACATTAATTTCTAGGCAACCACCATGAAACAGATGTTGGAATGACGTCTGTTGCTAAGCAGCAGATTCTTAATAATTAAGAGTAGACAGCAACTGCTAGGGAATAGCTCGGTAAACACATTCCCGTGGAAACAACATACAAAAATGATTGGTGGGCTGTGCTAAGGAATGATAAGCATGTCAACTGGGGTAACCAAGTCAGTTCTGTACAGGAGTCTGTTAAGAAGAGAGTCAGTTGGAAGGGAGCCCCCATTCAGACAGGACTTGGGTCTTGAAGCTGAACAATCACCACTGTTAAAGCCATTACGAGGGAATGGTGAAGATACAGCAGGCTAGAAAAGACTCGGCATGTGCTGTGGTGATTTGTAAAGGGTGGACATTAGTGATGATGCTGTAATTACTTGTACGTGTATAACCACTGTCACTTAGTGTCATTCAGTTCATTCTTTCCTCAATGTTGGATGCTTGCGTGTTTTGTTTCTTCTTTTTCTTTTGCACTTTACACTTGCTGCACAATTCACTTGAAGAAGGGGGTGGGGTGTCTAGCTTGTTGCTACCTGATTTGTTTTCATCCGGTCTTCCTCTGACCCTGTCTCTTCCTTTCTAGAGCCTATTCTGATCAGCTGTTCTACCCTCACATTCCTTACGCACTCACTTTTTCCTAAGCGAATGACCCTCATTTAAGTGTCTTTGCAGGTTGTGTTCTTTAAACTTCTAGTGAACATCACAAAACCAATTTCTTCCTGCACATTACAGTGATTACCTTGCCTTTCTCCCTCACTCACCCTTTCATTCACCCTTCGTCTCCTGTCAAGCTGTCCTCCGTCTTCATACCCCAAGTTTCTATGTGCAAACATTTGGAACTGGAATTTGCTACTAGTATAATTCCCGTATACCGCGCTTATCTACAATATCTAGATATCACTGAATCAAGATTCTTAGACTCTGAAAAATTTTGATAGACTGGTCCGGATCGACTGTCAGTGTTCTACTTGCCTGCCGTTCCGCTTATGTCCTTTGCCTTGTGGGGGAGGGCTTCATCAAGGTATGGTTTGAATTACTCCAGACTGATTATGCCCCTCGTTTTACCTCGCGAATCTACTAGTTTGTATATAGAAGGGTTTATTCGTCGGTGAAAAACAAATGGTCCTTCGAACGATCGCTGGAACTTGCTAGTAATATTTCGCATGGTGTCTGAAACCGGCTGGCATTTCACCAACAATAGAACATAGTTTACAGGAAAGCACGAGTTGTTACAGCAGACATTCTTGTGATTGTATTTTATAGTTTAGCCAAATCATTATAGTGATGTGTTCCTTTTTTTGTTTTAATGCTCAGAAGAATACTGAGTGATATTTTCTTAGTTACAGATCGTATTTGATGGTTTCCCGATCTAATATTAGAGCACTACTATTGTGGGGTGGTTACGTTTCATATAAAGTATATGTATATCCTTCACATATGTCGAAAAACATAATGAAGTTAATAATGGGAACATTAGGAAAGAGAATATTTCGGGAACTGTTGGATATTGTAAGAGTCAATGTTGATAATTGTGATATCATGCACTCTGAGAGCGTTCTTAAATGTCAATATTTCGGAAAAAATGCATTTACGACCATTATAAATATCGTAATATATTCCAGATTTCACAGAATATGTAGAGAGTTTAACAGGAAAATGTATGCTAGAGTTTATCATGTGAGAAAATTCGGAAATAAAATGTCCTGTATAAATATAAAATGATTTCATATGCTATCAGAGACATTCAATCGTACGATATTGCCGACGGCCAAACAGTGCTCAACTGAGCATAATGATGCGCAGTAGTCATTTGCGCACACGTGTCATAATGTAAACTAACAACCTAACATTAGCGTAAATTACCGAGCTTCGCCACCTACAAGGTACAGATGGATGCGCAGTAGCGTACTGCGCAAACCTAACCTAACCTAACATCAGCGAATGGTACCCCTGAATTACAGATGGATGCGCAGTAGTTCATTGCGCACACCTAAGACAGACGTCATTTACGAAGCTGTTATTTAAATTAACGTAATATACGACTGTTGTAACATGGAATATAAATCGATATATGATGTTTTGTATAAAATTGAGTGTCTTGGTGGTTTTTCCACATATATTATCTATATATGCTCTTATATTCCGAGGTTACATTGCTACGCGATAGCTTAGATTGTGTCGAAAATGTCGCTCCCACCTCACGAGTTTGCGCATCCCCCACGGTGATACAAATGATTACTGAATATCACATATTATGGCGTTATGCTGTCCTCCAATGGCATAATGTTATGACGAGAACTCTTTAATATCACTGAAATCGTTCCCTTCTTTCTCGTGAATGGATACGCGACCAATTCCGTGACTGGTTGCCATTTGTTTCGTTCGAATTTCTCTTCCTGGATAGGAAGTAGAATAATATTGTAGACGAAAATAGGTAAAAATTAGTTTGAAAAATTACCGTCCTGTAATCGAACTGATAATGGAATGTTTCTGTTTCAGTCATGTTACGAGGTTGGCTGCCCTGTCACTGTGACGTAAATATCCGGTCTACACAATGAAGGTATGTTTCTTTCCTGGTATGAAGAGGTGTTTATAAATAATATCACAGTGTTGTGTGTATGTTTTATACATGTAATTCTGAGTGGTGTTGTGGAGTGGTCAATAAATCCAATCCATAACCCTGTTGATAGTCACACACATATGCATGAGTGTATGTAACATGTGAATCAAGGCACGTACTAACAGATTAATAGCAGCACACAAGAATATTAAAGACACAAGCAAAACTAGATGAGTATAAGAAACAGAAACAGTAAGTTCTGAGATGAATTAATTACATATTTTCCTTATACAGAAATAAGAGATGGGACCTTCAAGGAAGTGACTCAGTTTAAATTGTGAGGTAGAGATACAGGCTTTTATTTCAGGCTTGACACTCAAATGGTGACAAGAACAAATGGAACAAACTGAGGGTGTCCAAAAATATTCTCATGCTACATCAGTTTTTCAAGAAACTATTGGGAAGTTCTTGAGTAGTTGTGCAACTGGCAGCTTCTCGAGAAGGGCTCAACTCCATGGAGTTTGTTAGCATTTACTAGGGGAACTGGTCGTGATTAATGTTCTTCTACTGTCTTGTTATTCAGCAGGTGAAATAGTGACTTCACCTGATGTGGTCATGAGTGAAGCCAAGCCCAGAATTTTACCTTCTTATACTTATGCATGCTCGCAGTCAGTTTTACATCTTGGACAGGCCTTGAACCATTTTGTTCACGTCAAAGTAATCTCAGACTATGCCTTTGGGAATCACTACTTCAGATAAACGCTTCCTGTACTGGGATTTGAAATGTTCATATAGCCAGAGAGAAGTGAATTGCATTTCTGCCAACTTAACCCTACTCAGTAGAGTCATGCATGCAGAGATTCAATTTTATGTATTAAAATATGTATAGAATATATGGAATGCTTAAACACCTGGATAATGATGTGATCAGGTGGAGTCTTCTGTGCCAACAGTTCTGAGCGATACTGCTCTATGAAGTTAGTGTGGACATTACCAGAGAAAAACTTGCTGTGGTTGCAAAGATCCAACAGGAAATCCAAATTTGTGTCCACACCCACAATCTGCAAGTTTCAAAACCATATAAATAGCTATAATTGTTAGTTTTGCAGATTCATGCCCTTCATACACATCAAACAGTAGATGAATAAAAGAACAGATGCAAAAAGAGGAACTAAGGAGACAACAATAACAGAAAATACATGAGAGACATCTTCCATACTGTCAAATTTATATACTGTAGCAAAATGTCAGAATACTAAATAATTTATTAAGTCTAATGTACTTGCTAACACTCACATTATACTCAGTTAGCTGAGCCCTCATCTTCATGAGGGCACATGTTCGATCCTCACCCCAGACAACTAACTTTGCAATCATTGGGTCATAGTGAATTGACACCTCGTCACCTTGTCGGACACCTGTGGGCAACATCATACAAAGAGAAAAGAACAAGGAATAAAAAATTTGATTTGTTTCATTCTGCTTCGTCACACTTACAATTACAAATACAAACACGCCATCCAATGTGACCTATAAGTTTTTACCACAAGAAAACGTATCTCCCTTACATGTTTCGGTCCTTATGGACCATCTTCAGAGGGAAACATCATTACAAGTTGGAAACTACTATCACAAAATTGATTTAAATTACATACATTTATATGTTACAATGCACAGTACACATAGAGTAGAACATTTCACCATCACAGCAGCTTCCTGGTATTGTAAAGTTTTTAAAAGTTTCTAGATATTATTTAAAACCAGTGTTGTCAATAATTAAAATTTATAAACCACGTAACTTCGTGTCCGTCCTCCTATCGTCCTTCTTGTATGGGGCAGATTTTGTGCCGCCTGTCTATCTTGATGAGGAGGTTCTGCAAATATATTATGGGTATTTTACTATTTCAGTGATTCTACTGTCTATATACAGGTGTCCCAGGAGGAATGTGCCAAACTTCGGGAGGGTGTTCCTTATGTTAAAGTATGCCGATATAACCCAAAACACCTATGTCCAAAGTTTTGTTATAGCTTTTGAAAAAGCTAAAAAAGGAGGCATAATGAATATAAAAGAAGACTTCTACATATATCAATTTAATAAGTTCAATAAATTGATAGAAGAACAAAAGTATAAAAAAGAAAGTAATAGCCAACATAGTATGTTTGACCTCATAATACATCATCAGATCACGCCCACATTAACGTCACAAACACAACAAGTATAAATTCATGCGACACAGCACACTCTAGAACAGTGAAAACACAGCAAACACGAGCAAACCCTGGACGATATCAAGGTAAGACGAAACAAAATCCTCAAATATATATATATATATAGAGAGAGAGAGAGAGAGAGAGAGAGAGAGTAGAATCACTAAAATAGTAAAATACCCATAATATATTTGCAGAACCTCCTCATCAAGATAGATAGGCGGCACAAAATCTGCCCCATACAAGGACGATAGGAGGACAGACATGAACCTACATGGTTTATATTTTTAATTATTGACAACACTGGTTTTTAAATAATATCTAGAAACTTTTAAAAACTTTACAATACCAGGAAGCTGCTGTGATTGTGAAATGTTCTACTCTATGCGTACTGTGCATTGTAGCATATAAATGTATGTAATTTAAATCAAACAATTTTGTGATAGTAGTTTCCAACTTGTAATGATGTTTCCCTCTGAAGATGGTCCATGCGGACTGAAACATGTAAGGGAGATAAGTTTTCTTGTAGGAAAAACTTATAGGTCACATTGGACGGCGTGTTTGTATTTGGAATAAAAAAATCTTTACAACAAACAGAAGTTTATACTTACTGTTCTGTCTTGTGTTTTCCCCAGTCAGGTGATAAAGGAATAAATAAATGAATGGCAGTAATTACTTAAAAAATGGAGTACATAACCAAATTGGCCTTCTTTTGTTGATTTACAGGTGATCAAGGATCTATACCATGATTTCCATTTCCACTCTTGCTCTCTTTATCGTTAGGCGCATTCTTGACCTTGAAGAGAAACTTTTAAGTTCATTAAGCCAATCTGTATGAATGAAACTTCTTGAGAACCACGGACAGATTTTCATGAAATTTGATGCTGGAGAAAATTGCAAAAAAAAAAAAAAAAGTGTCAAGCCAACTGAATGCTCTTTCAGACTGTACAGTTTTAACAAGCAATTCACATGAACACCTACAAGCATTTCTGTGTGTATCTCACTAAATATATATCAGAGAGAAAACTTTTTTGAACTAAGCTGTAGCGAAGCTCCAGAAGGTCAATGAAATGCTTTTGCAACTAGAATTCTGCTTAGCATGGGGTAATAAGAATGGCGAGAGAGAAGAGAGTGAATGGGAAGTTCAAATATTGTGCAAGAGCCACTCCAAAACCAAATGCCTTCAATTTTTGTTGGACACTACTGCAGGTATGCAAATTAAACTTGTATGTCACATATTTCAAGGCTTTAAACACTTATATTTATTTTTCCACATACTGACCTCAACTCTGTATTTTGTCCATTACTGAACCCAAACCTCTCGTAAAAGTTGCTGTTGGCATCCAAGAGTCACCTCTTGATGGCCATAAGTATAGCATCATCATTGGTGAAGTGTTTCCCACAAAGGCCATCCTTCATTGGAAGGCACAAGGCCTGGACTGTACAGGAGATATGGCAGGTCAGTCTACCCAGGTTCTGCAATGGTCTCTCTTATGTGGATGATGATATGGTGCCTGGCATTGTCGCACTAAAGAAAACATTTTCCTTCCTTCTCTGGCCTCCTCTCGCAGTTCATGTTTTCAGCTTCAGCATGCAGAATCAACTGTGCATCTCTGTTCCAGGATATTCACAAAGATAACCCATCTCTAATCCCAAAAAAATGGAACACATGATCATTCTAGAACATACCTGAGCTTTGAATTTCTACATTGTTGGAGAATCCTCTTATCACCAAACTGTAGACTGCTGCATTGGTTCTGGTTCATAGTCTTGTACCCATATATCATCTCTGGGAATGATATTGTCAAGGAAACCATAGCCCACAGTCAACATTGTTCCAGAAGATCAACACAAGCCTACACTCTCTGCTCCTTGTGATCTGGCATTAGCATTCATGGAACCCACCTGATTTCCCATATCCCAAATAATCCAGAATCATTTTCAATGCGTTAAATCTTATTTCCACTGTTGCACTCATTTCCTGGGTCTTAATGCATAGCCTTCATCAATCAGTTCACCCACTCTCTCCATTGTCCACCATCGCTGACCTTGGTGTGTCCTTCAACCAAATGCTACCATTGTTGACATGCATTACTGTGCTCACATTTGCTGTGACATTCTCATACTATTCTTCAAATGTTGTGAATCTCAGTGGGCACAACATTCTCTGCATTCAGGAACTTGATAACAAACCACTGTTTCATGAGCCCTGCAATGTCACGCTCTATTTTCATGAGCTACCACACACCAGCCACCTGGCACGCAGCATTGAAATTTGAAGGATACTGCTGGTACACTTACATTTTCACCTGACACCACTACATTTTGTATGCAACATCAAAAGTAGAAACAAAATTTGGAGGCATTGGTTTTGGAACAACCATCATAGTTAGAATTCTGAATGGTATCTCATGAATGTCAATTATTACAGTAATACCCACGTACCTGTCTCTACCCGAACATCTGAATTTGGTATTGGCGTGATCAAATATTGGAGAAGTCCTGCACCAGGCATGAAACTGTTGCCAGGATTTTCAGCACAGATGCGAGCCTCAAATGCATGGCCATGGAGATGAATCTCCTCTTGTGACAGAGGCAACTTCTCTCCACTAGCCACCTGTAATGCACACATAATTTGTTAACGATGCTTCTCTGTCATTGCAAAGACGAAAATTAGTCTTGTTAATTCTCCTCCCATAACCATATCTTGTTACACTGGGCTTGAGGCTCTTAACAGCAGTGTCTGTGAAAATTATTGTCTCCTGGGATGTGAAGCCATGTAGTGTGATAGCAACCTTGTTGGCAACACATTTTGCTGGTTACTAGAACAGTTTACTCTTTGAAAATGAAGATGGAGGCAATATGTGTCTTTGAAACGTCGGTGAACTTTTACCAGAGTACAAAGAATCACATTTCAGAAGCTAATAATATTTTAACATTACTTAAATTAGAAACAAAGTAATAACATGTGGGTTCCCTTGTGTAGCACATTGTCCACCACTGCAAAGGCATTTGTTGATTTTGTGGCACACCAGTTCCTCACGAACAACAGGCATTATGTCCCTGCAAAACTGAAGTTGGCAAAATGAAGGCCTCATGGGGAATCAGACATCAGGAGAACCCCAGCTGGGATATTGCATGTTAAGGTACCATAACAATTAAACAATGAAATCATCAGCTACATCCTTCGCCTTTAACCCTTTACACTGTTGATAGTGGAAGTCCTCAATGATGAACAGGGCATTGATGGTGAGGGTGGTGATATAAACACATTTTTAAAATAAACTTTACTGAATCATGCGATATGATGCCGTGTACACTTGTAGAAGTTTAATCATGTTTCACAGGAATGTGTTGAATTCATTTTCAGAGTCTAAGAGTAAGCGAAGCAAGAAAGCAGCAAACAGAGATAGCTTGCTTGGCTTATGGTCATAGTACGTTCTTCCAAAATTATATTAAATTTATACCAGACTACATGGTGTCACATCCCAGAAGCCAGCACTCTTCAAAGTCAATGTCATCAGAACCTCATGTCTCGCAGACCCAAAACATCATCCCACTTGTGTGTTTCCAAGTGCTTTCATATTCTATAGGCTCTTACCAGAAGAGTTTTCCTATTTTCCTATTTTCAGTCATATTCTTCAACTAAATTGAATTTTTATTATTAACAGTAAACAATGAAAACCATAATAAGGATTATACATTCATTCAGTATATAGTTTAGGTTTCTCACCCATTTGAGCATCACCTCCCAATAGTAAACAGCTGTATGGGAATTTAGTGTTTCTTTATTATAAGGAAACAGTTCACCATAGTCTTCATTATTTTGTTTATAAGTTCTTCTCCTGAATGCAACTCTTTAAGTATACACTGTATAATTTCACAGTCTTGTTTCTTTACTGTATGCTGACGACAACTGTGAATTCCGAATACAGTGATACTCCCATTTAACATTCGGTTTCAATGAACCCAAGTCAATGTCAGCGTTAAAATTACCTCCACTTACTTCAGTTTAATGTTCAAATCCACTGGTCTCGAAAGAAACCTTAGATAGGTGTTTCGCTGCATTTCGCATGTCAGCATACACATTTTTATTACTTTAAACGTGCCAGCAGCCATTCAGAATACTGAACACTGCAGCAAGAACAGTCAATGAGAACATACAATGCACGATATTGTGCACGTATTCAATCAAAGCATCAGATCCAGATGCAATACTCTGAGCAGTTCCATCTCAATGACAGGCAATCATTTTCTTTGGATGGCGAGACATAAACTTTTCTTAGCATGAAATCAGACCCATTCATCTGTCCACTAGGAGGCTAGCATGGGGAGGATGGAAAATTACATCAAACAAAACAATAACCATTATGTCTAAATAAACTAGAGGTAATTATGTGATGCAAAAGACGACTTCCTGCTCAGAGATCAGATGGGGAAATCGTGTGATAAAGGTAATTATATAAGTAAAGGCATTATAATCTGAGAGGACATAGTACCATGTGTTTCATCTATTGTGTCCACTGTCACCTCCCAAATGGGAAGTTTAAACACTGACAAAACATCTTATGTTATCTCATCTAAGTTTTCTAGTATACAAATCATTAAATAAACTATGGAACATGAACTAGAAAGGCTGACCCTGAACTGCCATTCAACGAGATCAGTCTTGGTCACCATCTCTGTTACAGGATGTTCTACTTGCAGGCGAGTATTCATCTCCATGAAATGAAAGGCATGAGAGTGGCGATCCAAAATGAATTCCACGGTGCCTGCTCCTACATAGTTCACTGCATGGGCTGCATTCACAGCTGCCTTTCCAAGTTCTGCCTGCAGTGATGGTGATATATTAGGCTGCGCAAACATTAACAGTAAGTCAACACAAACAAGTTTACCTTTAGTGACAATATGAGGGAGGTCCAAAAAGTGAGGTAACACAATTATTTGCTGTCACACGTTTTATTCAACAGCAATATAAATATGCTACCGCTAGAAACCACACAACTAGTGTTTATGAAAACTGCTAAGAGATGGTACTACTGGTTGTTTACATCTGGTAAATGAACTAAAATGGCAGTTAGGCTAATGTGGAAGTCTGTTCTATAATTCAGTGTCTGCATAAAAAAGGGACTGAAGTCCACGAAACTCATTGAGAGTTAGTGTCCAACTATGGGGAGAATGTGATGTCAAACAGACACATATAAATACACCAACAGATAAGCAAAAAAACTGACAAAAACCATCACAGCAACACATTATTCAATATAGCCACACATTCATAGAACTGCACATGTCCATAAAAATACTCATGAACACATTACTATGAGACATGTAAAGTAAAAGTAAACATAAAGGTATCCCTGTAACAGACCGTGAAGGCCCATAGAGTTGTGAGATGTTGAGGGTCGCATATTATCTAGACAATCGGCTCAAAGATGGTGGTAAGGTTGTCAGCCTCACACGCCGGGCGCGCTTTACTCCCAGGAAAATTATTTAATTAATTCCTGGTACTCATTTCGTCATACAGGAATTTATTATCAATATGTTTCAGCAATGTTTTCGACAGCTATATCAACGTTGGCAGACTTACATAGTGGCCAACGGCAACTATTTTGAGGGCCGCTGTGGATCTGCGTAAGTGTATGTGAATACCTTGTAATAATATGTGATAAAATCACATTCCACGAACTTAATGACTCTACCACGTACATGTGAGGAATTTCCTTTGAAGTGTTGGTCATCTTTTGATGATGGCCATCACTGGCCAAAACAAGAGAAGGCTCATCTTATTATTAAAAAACATTGTTGAACTTGATGGAATTGGACCTTAATTTTACCCATATCAAAAAACATGTTTCTTTCTGGAGGATTAACTCGTGACATGAGGTGCAGTGTTGTAGGTAGTGGAAAGCGTTACTCTAAAATCCACACTTGGTGCCCTCTGACTGATACCTCTACAATTTTAAACCAGCCCCTTTTTGAAGGCACTGACTTGCAGATACTCAATGTGAAGTGTTATCAACGTTGGGCTCAGACCTTATTGCAAGGGGATGGATAATCTCATCTCACAGTGGGACAAACAGGCAAGAAAAATACAATGGAAAATAATACATGCTCTTATTGCTGTCTAATGTCACAACAGTATGGTTAAAAGTCTTCCTGAAAGAAAGTGTGTCGCTTTTTGAACCTGTCTCATACTTTCACATAAAGAGGGCAATTACATCTCTGGTATATTACTTTACAAAGTGATAAACTTATTGACTTTTGAGGCCATCTTCAAGTTTGATGAGAATACAAAAACAAATGTATATTAATAAATTCTGTATTGTCTACTGATAGGAAGATCTGACACAAATAGGCAGTTTATCTGAAAACCAGCACTGCAGTCAATAAGAACACATCAAGCAACAGATGCTATACAAACTACAGTTATAACAGCTCTCATTCATTCAGTTGGCAAACAGGCACGTACATGTAGAGGCATAGGACACAACTCTAAATAAAAAAGAAGGGTATGAATATACTTAATGGATAATGAATAGGTCAAAATTAAAATGATTTTTAAATTTTTTTTTAATTTTTTAAAAACTGCTCTAGAAGAGAAAACTCTCATTCTCATGCTGATTGGCAAAATGTTTCCAAACTTTCATCCTGAACTGAAAAAAATGATTTTTGCGCATGCATACAGCAGCAGCAATACAATAAACAACTGATGTAAGACATGAACAGATGTAACAACGCAATACCTCTATGAAATACATAGATACATAAAAACACTTTTAACAAACTGAACACCTCTATGTAAAGATATTGTAACGTGTTTACGTTACTGAATACGCCGTAGAGAACGTTAATTGGTTTATTTAACAATCTACAAATCACGGCTACAATTAATGGTAACAATGTTATGGGTTTCCACACTTTACAAACCCTAGAACAAAATCTCTTAACACTCTCTTCAAGAGTCTTCACGTATTAATAACGCGGGAGCT